CTCTCGCCCCCACGCGCTCCAGTCCCGAGCGCCCGCGCTGCCTGGAGAGGGGGATGCGCCGCAGAGGACCTGACAAGGGGCCATCACGAGGGATATGGGATGGGGTGGGCGCCCCTGGGCCGGCGAGGGCGCTCCTGCCTCCCGCACTCGCTGCACCCCTCACCGACCCTGAGCAGGCAGAGACTTAGAACTAAATCCTATCCAAAGCTGGAAAAATTCCTGTATGTGGTTAACGAAATCCTTTGTGGCCTCAGAAGAAAACCTCCCAGAGCCCAGGAGTTCTCATCTCTGATTTGGAATCGAGGACTCTGCTGAGAGTCACAGGATGGTCTGCTGACAGCAGCCGCTGCGGTGCAGAGAGCCAGTAAGCTCCATGGTTAGGGCGCCCACCTGGGTTCAACTAGCTGTGTCCCCGCCCCCAGCCCACCAGTCCCTTCTCTTGGAGCCCAGATGTAGTCATCTGCAAAACATACCTGTGCTGACCTCACAGAACCCTGTGAGCACTGGCCAGGCCTAAAGTAAGTACTCAATAAATGCACGCGATTATTTCCCATCCCCGTGTCAGAATCCGGACTTTTTGTCCTAGAATTATAGGGTCTTCCATGCAAAGGGAGTCATTACTGGGGTTCACACTCTTGGGACAGGCGGGGAGACCTCAGGCCACCTCTCTGGGCCTCCCTTGTTTTTGAGTGCTTTCTGTGAACACATCTGCCACTCTGAGTGTGGAACTTGGGGTTGTGCGGCCCTGGAACGCTAGAATCCTTGCCTTCGATGAAGTACCCACTCCCTGGCCTGAGAATCCGGGGGTCCTGGAAGCTGAGAACCTCGGGGCAGAAACGGGCTTTTGGAAACTATTGATTCCACCCTCGCCGGACCTTAAAGCTAACATCCCTCTGACTTCATCCTTAAGGAGACAGTTTAATCCAGCGGTTCTCAACCTGTGGGTCACGAGCCCTTTGGCGGTCAAACGACCCTTTCACAGGGGTCCCCTAAGACCATCCTGCATATCAGATATTTACATTACGATTCATAACAGTAGCAACATGACAGTTATGAAGTAGCAACGAAAGGAATGTTATGGTTGGGTCCCAACATGAGGAAATGTATTTAAAGGGCCAGAAGGTTGAGAACCACTGGATCAGTTTCAGCGCGCAGCTATAATTTCTTTTATAATATTTTAATTAATTTTTTAGCACCATAAACTATAAGTACAAAACTTATCCTCACAGGGATCTCGCCACCGTTAGCGATGGGGATCTAACTGTCTTTCCAGAAGCTGGGCTTGCAGGGTGCTGAACTGTGCCCACCCCACACTCCCCTCCCCCCCCCGCACCCCGCGCCGCCAACTGGCTTTGTGCTGCTTCTCCCGGGGCTTCTGTCCCCTGGGGGGTAACGCTCTGGGTGAGGAGCCGGGGTGCAGTCCCAGGAGCAGTGCCTGCTCACCTTGCTGCAGCCTTGAGCTGCCCTTCCCGGGCTCGCCCAGCTTCTCTCTGACCTTGTCCACACTCTTGCCTCTGCCCGGACCTCTCTGCCACCCATCTCTGCTGACCAATCCCTCCTTCCCAGCCTTTCTTTCGGGGAGAGGATGTTAGTGAATGTCCTGGTCACTGCAATGGTGTGGATTCAATGTCGCCTCCTCCAGGGAGCCTTCCTTGATCCCCCCTCCCAGCTTCTGAGCTGAAAGTCATCCCCTACTTCTGGAGCTCCACTGCTTCTTACATGAGCCTTCTGGGGAGGGTGGGGGACAGCAATCCGAGCACGTTCCGTACTGCCTCATCACTCGTCACTTCCACAGAACTGTACAGGCAGCGTCTCGGGTGATGGGTGTCCCTGGGGCCAGGAGCCCGGCCAGCCTGCTCTGTTTTAGGCCCGGCTCCTTCATTGAGCCCATAGCAACTCTGGGACAGAGGTGCCACTGTTATCCCATTTCACAGAGGTGAACACCGAGGCTCAGAGAAGTCGCATGCACACACCCCGTCATGTGGCAAATCAGTGGCAGATCTGGGACTAAAATTAGAAGCTGCCGGATCACAAAACTCAAGCCTGAACCATTGTGTGGTTCTGCCTGGTCCCAACACGGACCAGGAGCCCTGTGAGCACAGGGCCTGGTGCTCCTCGCCCTCGGCTGTGGTGCTGTCTCAGCAGGAGCCCTGGACGAGGGTGGGTGCTCCTGAGGTGGAAGGGCAAGGGCTTTGTCCATGGTCTTGGCATTAGATAAACTTGGATGGCAATCCTACCTGCCCCCCATAGTAGCTGTATGGCTATGAGCAAGTCACTGCACTTCTCTGGGTCTCAAGTTTCCCATCTGTAAGTGGCCACAGGAAGGCCCTCACTGCCCAGTGATGAGGAAGAAGTAAGACCTCATTCATGCAAAGAGCTCAAAACTGTCTCCTTCCAGTGCCAGCAGCCAGCACAGGGCTCTGCGCACAGTAGGGACTCAAAATGTTATGTCGGATTATTGTTGTTACCATCATTTCAAAACTGCATTTTCAACATTCCCAGCTCCCAGAACATATTCAGCTTGTGATCAACATGTCTGTAATGATGAAGAGTCATTCTTCCCTGCTCCCACCTCCCAGCACCAGCACATGCGCAGAAACTGGGCGGGACTGGAGTATGGCCTTTGCATAGAGACACCCTTGGGGTGCTGTCCAGCCGGCAGTGGGCGAGGTCTGCTGGTAACAAGCATTGGGATGTCCTGAGTGTGTGTCTGAGTGAGGGGCCAGGACAGAATGATGGCACCCATGGGAAGAAGATGCTTGGAGGGAAACCAGACCCCAGATGTTGCCCCAACCCCTAGGCCCCTTCCTCCTGGGGACAGACAGTGAGATCTGGCTCCTAAAAAGGCTCAGGAAATGATTTTGCCCTTCGTGGACCAGCTCTGAGCCCTCCCTCCAGTGTCCCCTGCCCAGCCCCTCCTACCTTCACGTAGTCCCCGCCAGCCTCCGGCTCTCCAGCAGCCCTGGAGAGAAAGAAGAGAGGTGAGTGTCCCCAGCCCTTCCTGGCTCCCCAGCTGCCTGCCTGGTGCCAGCACCGGCCCTCAGTTCTCCGGAGGACTCATCCTGAAGGCCGAGGGGCACTGCAGCCGAGAGCGCTTCCTGGAATCTGCTGGCCTGGCTGCTCCTCGCTCTCTAGCTGTGGGGCCCTGGGCAAACCCCTGCACCTCTCTGAGCCTGGCTTCCTGTAAATGGGGCCGCTGCCTCATCGGGTTGTCGTGAGGACTTAAGAAGCTGATGAATGTTTGGTGCTTAACACAGGCCTGTTCCTGGTCACTGTCTTCACCCCGCTGTAGGCCACTGCCTCCCCCCTTAGCCCCCACTCTCCTTCCACCCGGCCCTGACTGGAGCAGTTGGAGGCCCCAGGCTGGGCCTCAGCCTCTTCTCCTCCTGCCCTGCACTGGTCCCCAGTGCGGAGTGACACCCTGCCCCCCGCCCCCAGCGGCTGCCTAGGACTCTGGTGCCACTGCTGGAACAGTTGCTGCGGAATTGATCCCTCTGTCTCCAGGGTGGCCAGGATGGGGCTGAGGGGGGCTGAGGGGGCCTGACGGGGCCTGAGGGGGCTTGAAGGGGCCAGAGACCAGGGTGTCTGTTTTTCCTGGTGCTAAACAAACATCTCCTTCCTCATGAGGGCCACGGTGAGGCGCTCCCCGCAGGCCCTGGCCTGCAATGGCATCCCTCCTCTGATACAGCCTGGACCTGTCCCTGCGACACGGGACTCGTAAACCCAGCTGCCTGTGGCATCTCCTCCTGGATGTCTGCTGTCATCCTGATCTTTCCACATCCGACCCAGGCCCGCTGGGTCCCCCTGCGCCGCGCCCTGCGCCCACACCCACTTCCCAGATCAGTTAGTGTCAGCTTCATTCTTCTCGTTGCTTTGTTTGGCCAAGGACCTCCGGTCATCTGTGCCTCCTCTCTCACTCACACTCCACACCCAGCCACCAGGAAATCCTGCGGTCTCCTTCCAGAATAGATCCTGACCATGTCTCTCCCTGTGTCAGCCCTGCCCCACCTGAGCCTTCTCACTGGCTGGCTCTCACTCCCCTCGGTCAGCTTCCCTCCACCACCAGCCGGCTCTAGGCTGACAACCTAAGCAGATCAGGAACACACACCTCCCCGACCCTCCCATCTCTCAGAACAAAATCTGAACCCTCCTCCATGGCCTGCAGATGGCTGGCCACGTCATTTATCATCCAGAATGCTTCTCCCCCGTGAGAGTAGAGTGCCATTATCATGCTCGAAGAATAGGCATAAACTGGGTTTATGCTCCCCAATCTCTAGGGCCCTGTGTGGCCTGGAGGTGCCCAACCAACCACCTTGCCAACCCCGCCCCACATACCTCCTCACTCATTCTGACCCTCCTCCCACCCCAGCCACACTGGCATCCCCGCCAAGCTCATTCTTGCCACAGGGTCTTTGCACTTGCTGTCCCTTCTGCCCTGCTTTGTTTCCCCACATCAGCCCCTGCCCGAAATGACCACTTGACCGTTATTTGTTGACTGTTAATTACCTGACACCTCCACTTTGTCTTATTCATTGTTGAGACTCCAGCCCTCAGCCCAGTGCCCTGCATCTAGTAGGAGCTCAAGGAATGTTTATTGCTTAAAGGAATGCATGAATACTAACTCTCGAGCAAATGTTAACCACTATCATGATTATGAATTCTGCCAGGTGGGGCCCTGCTTCTCTAGCTAACACAGGCCTCAGCATCTATTCCCAGCTGCAGAATAGGGAAGAAGTTTGAACATTGGGGAACTGCTTCCTCACATACAGAAGTGCAATATTTAAATTTAAATGTAGTAATTTTAATAAAATAGATTTAAGACATAACAAAACCAAAAAATCTGAGCTTACAAAAATAATAGTGGTTAAGGTATGTGTTCCCAGGGCAGAATTCCTGAGGCCAGGGGGTCCTCACTGTGCAGCAGCCTGACAGCCCCCCTTTTTGCAACATTCGATAGCAGTGGTTCTCAACCTTCCTAATGCCGCGACCCTTTAATACAGTTCCTCATGTTGTGGTGACTCCCAACCATAAAATTATAAAATTATTTTCGTTGCTACTTCATAACTGTAATTTTGCTACTGTTATGAATCGTAATATAAATATCTGATATGCAGGATGGTCTTAGGCGACCCCTGTGAAAGGGTCGTTCGACCCCCAAAGGGGTCGCGACCCACAGGTTGAGAACCGCTGTTCTATAGTCTCTGTTGCTCACCTTCCCTCCTGTAAGGTCCTTCCTTTAACTATAGTCCCTCAGGCTGCAGCCCGGCCATAGCAGGCTTCTCGGGTCCTCTCTGTCCGATGACAGGGGGACCCCTGCCCTGCTTACATCCACTGCTCTTCCCGGGTGAGGCATCTCATTCCAGTGTTTCCGGCCATTCAAGCCCGGAAATCCTTTGGCTGGTGGGAACAGATTGGCCAGGACACTGGGATCACCCCAGCACTTCCTCCAGCTTCCTGTCTGCTTCCCCTCAGGCTGTGGGCGGGAGAGGAGCCTTGGGGAGGGAAGGCTGCACCAGGGATCAGGTGGGATGGGGTGCCCAGGGCAATGGGGGTGCTCAGGGCAGAGGCCCGGAAGCTGAGGGTCTGGGCAGCAATCAGCCCCCATTGCCTGCCCCCTCCCCGGCTCCCCTACCCTACCCCCCACTCTGCAGCACTCCAGGATTTCCAAGACAGAAGGTGGCCATGTCTGCTTACACCCACTGCCGCCACTTGTTCAGAGAGTGGCCACCACCTCCTCACAGGCCTCCGTCTGTGCCCGTGGCTGGTTCTCACCCCAAGCAGCCCAAGCAGTTCCATTAAAATAACAGTCAGATCGTGGCTTTTCTCTGCTCCAACCCGCAGGAGTGGCCCCCGGTTTCACAGAGAGTAAGAGCCAAAGTTCTCATGACAGCGTTCACAGCCTCCCCGCTCCCCCACCCCCACCCCCAAGTCTGACAACCCTGCTGGGGCCAAGCTGGGCTTCTTGCTGGAGTTCACCCCCACCTCAGGCCTTTGCACGTTCTGTTCCCTCTGCTGGAATACTTTCTCCCCCGATTTCCACTGAGCTCCCGCTCCCACCTGCAGGTCTTTACTAAAATGCCCCCTTCTCAGCGAGGCCTTCCCTGGCCACCCACCTAAAACTGTGTCCTTCTCCAGGCTCCCACCTCCCTGCCCTGCCCAGTCCTCCCCGGAGCACATCTGACTGACCGTGGGCCTGACTCGAGCCTGACTGTCTCTTCTCACTATACCCTCAGCTCCCCAAGGGCAGGGACTGAGACCTGCCCACAGCAGCGCCAGGCACCCCGTAAAGATGTTCATGAATGAATGAAGGTCACAGCAGCCCCTGCAACCTAAGGGTCAAGTCTAGTCCTCACGGTGGCTCCGTGCCCTGGGAGGGCGCACTGCCAGCCCCCATCCTCTCTCCTCCAACGCTTCCTTGCTCTCTGGCCACCGCACACATCCTCCCAAGAGTCATCTCCCTCCAGCCTCAGGGCCTTCGTCCACGCTGTTTCCTCTGCCTGGAGCCTCCTCCTTGCCTCAGGGCCAGGGAAATTCCTACGTAGACTTCAGTTCTCAGTTTGCTTGGAGATTTCTAGAGCGTTCTCCCTCTTGTTGTAACGAGCAAACCAGGAATCAAAGCTTTCATTTCTAAACACTCGGCTCCATTCATTAATTAACTTATTCCGTATTTTATGGATTTAAAAGGCACATCCCCTCTAATATTAGTGGTGAAATCAATTAATAAATAATAGTGACAATTGAGCTAAATCAGTCCCATTAATCAGCTGCATTAATTATTTAAATAACCAACCCCTTTAATTGCCCATATTAACTGATTTGTTCTGATAACTGATACCGCTCGGTACATATTTTAACTTAGTTAATTGGATTAATGAACAGTAATTAAAGCCAATTACCTTTTATTCCCCTGATGCAGGTTTAAGTCTGAGTGTCACATGACCTTCAGGACCTCCATCCCGGCCCAGAGGAAAGGGCAGGGCTCCCCCCGGCTCCCCGAGGAGAAGCAG